TATACTATCAATGGATTTGGACGAATGTACATTGCTTTCATCTTCATTGAATTCTACTTCTTCATTCGGTTCCTTTTTGATCAAGTTGTCATTCACTTTATGCTCCTCTACGATCGTTTAAATTTCTATGGATAGACTGATTGATCTGCATTCTAGATCCACGGGCAATAAAAAGTATTTCTTTTCAACTCTATCAAGTGGATTATATTTCCACCTTTTGAATTCATTCTAGTAACTCTAATCTCAATACATATGTTGCGCTCTTCCAATTTGGCAAGTTTATTATAATCCTTTGCATTTGCCCTCTCGTTCAACAGAGGAGGACAATTTTCTACAAGTACGATGTACTCATCTCCATCGACAGATACATAATCTCCCAAAGGCATGTAGTCTTCATTAGATTTGTCAATTGCTTGTTTTCGACATCTATTGTATGAACCTTAGAAGCTTTACGGTATGGGAGTCGGTGCGTGTAGGCAAACAGTGTTCATTATAATGCATCTTATAGCAAAGCTGACAAAATATATCTTCTACAAACACGTAGTTTTTATCCATGTCGAGATTACTTATTGCAATTATTTGGCTATCTTACCAATGTTAGAATCATGCATATAGTATTTAATAGTACCTGAAAAAAATATCAAAGAGATCAAGGTAGGCAGCCAAAATTAACAAAATCAAAGAAAATCTAAATTAAAACAAAGGCTAGTTGATAATAATATTAGTAAAAATCAAATATAACAATCTTAGGCAACAGCGCCAAAAACTTGTCACACGTTTTCTATGACGTGACTTATACCGCAAGTGTACGGTGTCAAGTTTTGTAATATAATAATGGAGTTAGAATATCGAACTCACGGGGATTTTAATTCAAATTTCTACTAAGTACTATAATTATATAGCCTCTATTTTATCAAGAGAATGAATTTTATAATCAATGTTTTTAAAATAATATGGTGACGAATTCAACAAATAAATGCAAGCTAGAAGAATAATCAAGTGAGAAAGCCTAAGGTTATGATTTCACCTAACTATTAAATGTAATTCTCAATAATATAATTATTTCTAATCAATTTTCCAAAATTTATAAGCAAGAACACCAATGTAATTTTTACTCCCTCTCTCGAGTGTCGAGTAAAAACTATTCCTATATTTTAATTTCAACATCTCTATTCCGAATTAAAATATAGAATTTATCAAAGTTCGTGATTCTTAGATGGAACATGCTTCAAAAGAATTATACTTTCGCTCGAAACCTATAATTTCCTATATTGTGTTATTTTTGTGATCACGCCTAAACTCCTCTCGAGTGCTGGAATTGACTAGCATCAAATCATTCAATTAGTAGTCAATTAATTGAAAGTATTAAAATCATAACACAAATAAACACATGTGGAAAATCTAATAGAAATAACTAAAATTAATCAATCCATATTCTCAAGTTTTTGGCTACAATCAAACCCTAGATAATGAATTTAGCTCATGATGTAATCTATGAAAATACTAAAATTCATATAGCCCCTATTTGTTTTCCATTATTTAAGGTGGAAAATGCATTTTTTGACCCCTTTTTTTCAAAGATGTGGGTCCCACTATGAGACAAAATTGTTAAAAAAGGCTGATGATCCCTGTTGCAACGGTAAGAATTTGCATTATAATGGGAAACAAACAGAAGCATAGCCCCTGTTTAATCTACATTATTATCTCATTAAAATGAAAAATATGATCATTATCCGTGACATTATTTAAATTCAAATTTTCTATCTTTTATGTGAGCCCCAATAACGGCGATATTTTTCATTTTCATTCTACAGTAATTTGGCTCAAATAGGGCCATAAAAAGACAGAAAAGAGAATAGAAAAACTAGGATGTAGATCTTTAATTTCTTCTCTTGTTGTTCTTTGTCTTGTTCTTGAATATCTTGATTTTTTCCTTCTTGCCTTCTTGAAGAATTGTGTTGAATTCCCCCTTGCTTCTTGAACCGTTCTTCCCCCTAGAATTAGGTCTTAAGGGTTATATTTATAGTATTTTGAAGTATTGGAAGGGTTAGAGTCTTGTTGGGCCAAGAAAAGAGTCCAAAACAAATCAAAACCCTTTTTTCTCGCCCAGCTGCGCTGCGGCTCGCAGTTGCTGTTGAATTTCAGCAACGGTGGCGCTGTGGCACCCAGTTTCGGATGGAAATTTGGCACTACGCGTCTTTCAGTATTTTTATCATAAAATTTTTTCTCCCGATGTCCGATTGAGACGATTCAAGATGCGTTGAAAAGATAACTTAAAGGGTTACAACTTTGCTTTAGATATCCTTTTCCAATTCGAACGTTTCCAATGTAAAAAATGAGTCTCAATATGAGACTGGAAATCCTGAGCACAACTCTTTATGTTGGAAATTGATGTGTGATCATACTTTGCATATATTTCATCCCTTTGACTTCTTTCTTCTGATTGACTCCTAGCACTCTTGAATCTTCATTGCGAGGTCCAACACAACTTTTGAATATTTGCACTTTAATCCCTGAATTTTGGATCTCTTACAATTAGCCATCATCTCCAATTTTGCCAATTTTTACTTATTTCCTTCAATTTAATCAACCTATATCATAACATCAAAACACACTTTAGAACTCTCTGAAACTCGTAAAAATTAGTTAAATATAAAGTTTAAATAATGTCTAAAGTATGAGTGACCATCAGTACATCTGCTCAAGCTTGGCTGGCTAACAGCAAACATGTTTATGCTCTTGCTCAGAGCTCGTGGTGTGAAATGTATGCTCACTTTGTTCAATATTTGCTCTGAACAACTCAAGTTGTGTTCGAAATCAAGTTTTAAGTTCAACTTTCCAAGCAGCTTCTTTTGTAAAAATTTCTGATAGTGTATACAAATAACATTATAATCTTGTTACGCCTGCCCACAAAGGAATGAAGTGACAACTGTAACCAAGAAAGAATGACCATACATGTGAAATTTGAATTCAATTTTTCATTCTGTTTACTAGTGGTTTTGGAAAGATCAATGAGGACCATAGCTGATTTATGTTCTTAGTTTTTTATGCTTTGCATTTTTACCAGTTAAATTACCTTTCCCATTTTGAATTCAACATTTTTGTGGTGGTATTAGGGGTAAAAATATTTCATAATTCTTTTGCAATTATATGTTCTATTAATAATTCAATTTTGATGTCAGTGAGGATGTAAGCCAGGGTATTTGACAACAGAGGCTCTTAACAAGAACTAGAATTGTAGGAGAAGGCGAAGAAGATCAAGAGGAGAGAACAGATCTCCATCAGTATTACTCTTTATGAATTGATAATTGTGATCCTTTTTCAATCTGATCACTACTACACGTCAGATGACATGCAGTTTTTTGCATGACTTTTGTTTGTCTTGAGATAAATTATTCTTTCACAGTTTGAAGAATGCTATGTTTAGTTTTTTTCTGTTTGGGATGGGCTGTCCTTTTCTCGTTTACTATTTAAGACGATTCGAGGATTTGAATTTTGTTTGGGTTGTCTGGTTGTCCTAAGTGCCATTGGTCTTTGGTGATATATTCTAATATAGGTCAATATGTTGAAGAAAACATAAGATGGAAGGTCGAGCACTATCTATTGGAAGTATGTGCTGAGTAAATTTAATACCATCTATTGATGATAACCTTTTTTTTCTTTTCTTCTTTAAAACACCCCTCCCCCCATCTATTGATGGTAACTTTCTCTGAAATATGAGGCATTACTCCCTCTCTTGCTCTTACCCACACACAGTTATTATCTGTCTACCCATGCATGTGCTGATGTGTGTACACATTGTGTCCTGCCTATCTGAATCATCCTTATTTCTTTGGCAGGCTTGTCTTCAGAAGTTCTAGCTCTGCGGTGAAATGGACTCAAAGAAATAAGTACTTTCACGTGCTTTCCAAGGGAGTGGAGCGAGATGGATGGAGATTTGTTCTTCTTGCTCGTTTCTCACCTCTACCATCCTACGTCATTAACTATGCATTGGCTGCAACAGAGGTTTCATTTCTTGTGGATTTTTTGCTTCCAACAGCGATTGGCTGCCTACCCATGATCTTGCAGAATACTTCTATTGGAAGCCTTGCAAGTACTACTGTAGCTTCAGTGTCTGGCTCGCCCCAGATCTGGTCATATGTCTTTCCTCTTCTTGGGTTCTTTTCGAGCATTCTAATCTCTTTGAGAGTCAAAAAATATTCCGCTGGTTTCACTGTTTCTGAAACCTCTACTTCTGAGGACATACAAGGCATTACTAGTGATGTGGATTCAACTCAAAAGTTGTCCTACAGAAAAAAAGAGAAAGGCAAGGTCGACGTAAGGTCACAAAAAAACTAACTGTAGGTCTATGAATGTGGCAATTGGAATTCTCAAGTACTCTATCTTGTGATATGGGAAGCAATCGTAAATTTTGCTTAGACTTTGGTTGTATTCAGTTGATCTTGTTCAACTTGTTATTTTCTCTCTTGCTCGAAGATTTCTTACATTTTATAAAATAACATACAATCATCTCTCGTCTCAACACCTTTATAACATAATTCAAGTAATTATATGACGCAATCTATGTTGCAATGACTACTTTTGGTTAGCATTGATTTTTTAAGGTAAACTATTTTGACATGTAAACAACCTTTTAGTCGTCCAAATTTTACAATTACCGAATATGAGCCCACAAATATTCAACAACGATATTCAAATATGTTTTTAGAGATGGCAACAAGATGGTCGGGCATAGGCGGTCAAGGATTTTTTCGTCATCTGTCCCGTTAATTGACTCGATTATACTTTAAAATAATTGCAGTAGTGGTTCCAAACATTTCAATTAAGCCCCTGTTTGGGCTCAATTAAAATGGATTTTGGAAAAAAAAATATATATTTTAGAATAGTGATTTTTTGGATAATGTACTATTAAAAAGTACGAAAACATTTTTGGTTTATTTGTAATATAATTTTATCAAAGAATGTGGTTGAAAATAAAAGATAAAAATGCATTTTTTAGGAAATGGAGCCCAAACAGGAGCTTCTTATGACTTATCCTAGCATTTTATTTGTTGTAGTAATGGTCTCAAACCTTTCATTCCCGGATAAAAACCTTCAGCCATATGCAAATGAAGGGTTTGGGAACAATGCCGTTACAAATGAAAGGTTAGGATAAAAGTTGCTACAAAGTAAAACTTTTGGAATTGTGGTTATAATTATACCTTATATTTTATTTTTATTTTTTTTTCTATTTTTTTTTTTAACGTTTTTTAAGATAATTTAGGAATTGGGATAGTAAGCCTGCGTAAACAGAAGTTAGGCTAAAGTATTTTTAAAAAAAAAATTGAAGATTTTCATAAATAAATAGATAATTGACCCTTGTCCCACCCCCGAGCAACAAACCCTTGACATGAAATTGCCTTGTCGCCATCGTCAAGTGCAAATTTTTTTTATTAAATTATCATTCCTAATGTTTTTATAAATATACAACAGCGACAATAGTAAAACGAAGTTTTTTTACTATGGATGGCAATTCGAATTGTTAAAATCGAAAATCGCGATTAACCGAACCGAATGGGACGAAAAACACCGAACCGATGGTGCAATTGGGTGGTTATGGTTTTGATTTTAATTATCCAATTCGGGGTGGAGCGAGTATGGTATTTAGCGACGGTGCCCCGCCCCGAACTAATTACCCGTTAAAAAAAATTTAATTGGGCAATGGCTTTCCATTATTGGGCAATTTTGACAACTGAGTTTCCCCAAAATTCTGGCTCAATTAACATTACTAATAAACCCTTAACTCAGTAACTTAATTTTAACCCTACACGTTAAAATTGAAAATTGGAAACTAAACTTACAAAATACTGGTCCACTAAATCAATGAACCAAATCAGATCTGCCAGCGCTTTGCTACATGTACCTCAACTTCAAATTGTAGTAATCAGCAACGAAGTCTACCATCTTGTGAGCACACTCCCTGAGTTGTTCTGCGTCCATTGGTTTCAAACCATCTTCCTTGTACACTTTAACAAAACTCAGATACATTATACTTGATTGCATTTTCTTTATAATATTATTTAAATATATGATGCATGGATCGGAAAATGTGATTTTTAGTNCGTGGCCCGAAAAATGTGATCTTTAGTCTGTTTTGGTTGCTAGTTTATACGTTCTTCGGTTCTCTATGTTCATAAGAAATAGATAGTCGACTTATTATTTTGGTTACAGAATTAATGTGGTTTTTTGCTGATATTATTAATGAAATTTCAGAATTCAACATATATTTTGGGTTATATTATTTGCAAGAGTTTGGTAATTTACCAATCCAGCAGGGAAGAATTATTATTTTTGTTTATGTTTTCATTTTTCATATATTTGTCAAGCAATTTTTATTTTTATAATTATTGTCATTTGCAATTCTCTATTTGGTAGGTATAATAGATGGTTTCTTTATCCATTTTTAGTGGGTCAGAATAAAGAATTTTGACTTTCTACAAATGCAGAATATAAATTTATTTTCTGGAATAGTGTCTAATAAACTCTTATTTTACTGCTTTAAGCATGTATTTTCAATTTGTGCAGTTAATATTTATTTTAGAAAGGTGATTGAAAATACTATAAATACATTCAAATTGATTGTATTTGGAAGTTGTGATATTGTTTGCATTTTCATTTAGGATATTGTTTGTTAAATTGGTTTAGTATTGTGTTTTTGTTTTTATTGACTTTTCGTCATAATTTTTTTTTTTCAATTTGACGGTTGGAATTTGGACTTATAAAAAATAATTTATTTTTATAGTTATTAACCGAACTGAATCGAGATACGAACCGAGCCAAACCGAACCAACTTATGTGATTATGGTACGGATATGGTATGACCAAAAATTTGATGGTGCGGTTATAGTTTTGGCCAAACCGCCCTCGAATCGAATCGTTGCCATCCCTATTTCTTACGTTGAGTTAAGCTAATTTTTTAATGATGTTGAAATTTCGAAGTTTGTACCATTTTAGAAATTTTAAGAGTATGATAGATCTTATAACATTGAAAAGCTACGAGTCTACTTTTGTATAAAATAATGGATTCTTATGCTTTGAGTTATAAGAATTTTCGTAATGATGCGCAAAACTGTTCAACTTTCAGTTTTAAAGAAACTTTTTTGTATTTAAATGAATAAAATGCTTTAACTAAAATAATACAAGGTCATGAATCTTATATCATTGGAAAAACCTACAAGGCTACTTTTAAATGAAAAAAAAAAATGATTATTCTAATTTTTGTAAACCCGCACAAAGCTGCTGAAATCTTGAAATTCGAGTATTTTAAATATAATAATATCATGATGGACGATGTTTTGGAAAATATGACTATGCCCAATGTTCAATTCTCAACTTTACTGGTAAATACACCCATACAAGATGTAATAGTCTATTTCGACCATGTACACATTAAACTCTTCAAAATTATAAGCCTCAACAACTCTCATAAACAATACATTGATCCCACTGCCTCGATACTAGGTTTTCAAATTGCCTTATATATGATACATGCAGTAACAATGGTGTGACTCGAGGAAAACTTCGGTGATACCATTTATTATAGCGTTCCCCCGATTAGTTACAAATGTAAGGTTCTTGACATTCTTAATTACTTTCCTCAGATTTGTAAACAACCAATGCATCACTAAATCATTCTCTCTATCATCTATGTCAAATGCAATATGGTAAATTTGAATGTTGACATTTTGAAATGTAGTAATAATCAACTTGCTTTCATACCTAGCTTTTAATGATGTACCATATGCTAGAATTAGGGATCACATCGAATTATGAAATCACCGAACCATAAGCCATAAAAAAAATACTTGAAGCGGTTGTCATCATCACTCTCAATAACAAATGTCGAATCATGATTTTTTTTTCTCTCCATATTATGACAATATCTGGCCAATTTATCATAACTCTCTTCGGGTGAACCTATTAAATCATCCAAAACACATTCTTTAGTTTTCCAAGTCTTTTGGTAGCTAATGATCACCTGATAATCTCAACGAACGTCATTAATAATATCTGTAGGTTTGCAAATTGTCCTTGGGTCCTCAAACTTATGCATATTTTAGATGACCAATAAACCATGATTGGGATTGTCTATAATCATTTTGACAAATCCCATCAGTATGTTCTCGTGTACACTTGCGAACTACAAAAACTTATTCCTGTCCATCTCCATTGTCGTCTACATAGATAATTGTGTAGGTAGTATTGTTTGATTTCTTCACTTCGAACTCAAAGTTGTGTTTTAGTGCATCATGTGCAAGGCTTCCTGTAGATTTCTCTTTGTGTCAAACAATTGCTCAACCTGCAAATCTTCATCATCAAAAACTACACACAAAAAATTAGAAGATTGTGTACCATGTCCAGCCTGTAAATTCCCACCCCACTATTGTCTTTGATTGGATGAAACAATTAGATCCTGATTTGTAAATGAAATTTCCTCCTCACTACTTCCGGAGATTTGTGCATAACAGTGAGATCATGGTGTGTGTAACAACTGTATTAAGAATAACTACGTCATCCTTATGAGCTACTATCACTGTGTCTCAAAAATCCTTCACATTACGATCCCCTATATTATGTATCCGATTTTATCAATATTGCAAAAACACCATCTCCATCACTCGTGTATTTTCATAACCATCAATAATTCTATTCCTTTGAAATTCATCAAAGTAACAACTTGGGACAAGTTATGATTCCATATATAATGATAAGTCAAAAATAAAATTTTTTTAAAAAAAAAGTTAAATTAAAAAAGCTAGATTAAGAGAAGGGAACAATACATAGTTCTTATTTTTAAAGTTCACATTTCATAAATAACAAACTTCTTAAAATATTTCAAAAATCAGGTGTTAAATAAATTTATTAAATATTAAATTATAATATAATATATATTAATTATTTACACCACCCCATGACACCTCACCCACCCCATCTCCTCACTACACCACTTCCCTTCATCTCCGGCACGGGTCCGGCCACTGCTCCAGCGACTTCTCCGGCGACCGTTCCGGGGAGTTCAAAATTTTCAGAAAATTGAAAATCACACCCCCCAACCCACGAATTGGTCACAATCGGCCACAAACGGTCACAATCGGTCTCAACGAGTCACAATTAATCAGTCACAAACGGTCATAATCGGTCACAAAAGGGCACAATAGATCACAACGAGTCACAATTGGTCAGTCATAATTGGTCACAAAAGGACACAATCGGTCACAAAAGGGCACAATCGGTCACAATCAGTCACAAAAGGACACAAAATTGATCGCAATTAACACAGAATAGCTGTTTGTGGGATT